GCGGTGTGGGGGCGGGTGGCACCAGCACCACTCACAGGAAGCCTGGGCACCACTGTGGCTCCATACTTCAGTGGCTGAGGCCTCTGTTCTCCAGAGGTATCCTCTTGCCTCCTTGCAGAGGAAACGTAAGCCCCAGCCTTTTCTGACTGTGGATCCAAAAAGCATTTCAGTGCTGCTGCATCAGGACAGATGCTACACGTTAGAGCTTGCCCTGGGAATACTGCATCCCTGCAGCACAGAAGCAGCTTTACACCACAAGCCTTGGGGGGCAGCCTGGTCCGTGGCGACAAGCACAGGACACAGCTGGGAGCTTCCCTGAAGATGGAGACATCCCCCAGCCGTCCCTGTACCGCCACACTGGCACAAGGACATCCCTGTGAACCCTGGAGTGCTGCACAGCTCAGGGAAGAAACAAGATGACCACCAGGAGCTTCCAAAGTCATCACTAACAACTCCTACTCGCTCTAGTCCTGAACATCCAGGAGAAAGTGTTCAAAGGAAATGGAACTTGTCCTTGTGGAGACAGGACTGTTTCCGCTGTCAGAAAGGGAGGACAAACCATTGCCTCTTAATCTGGAGCTCCCATGTTCTGCATCTGGAGCTCAAAACTGCTTTCCCTGGCCCCATTTTTTGCTGCTTCTCTTGTAAGCAGGACACACATTTGCAATATTCCACCACTGCTTACACGAGGAGGGCCATCAGAATTTCTCTTGGGGGTTGTCAATTCTTTTCAGGAGTCGGACATTTCCAGCTTTTCAATCCACCTGGTAATAAAGTCGGTGCTTGTGACATTAGGTAAAGGGTCAGGAGATCTGGCCTCAATTCATTTTTCTGTGTGACCTCAGGCGAGACACAACCTTTCTATACCTTGACTGCATCTACACAGACTTTCCTAACCAACAGCGTGAAGGAAAACAGCCGTCTCCTTCCAACAGCTCCTGAGATGGGGACACAGCCTTATGAGTCAAGGCAATCTCAATGTGTTAATGCAGAATTCACAGCAGACCATCATCATCTGCCCTCACCTGTGTTTTAAAAGCCACCAAATGCTACAGAGAGAGACCTTTCTCCTGAACCTTTCGGAATCAACTCAAGAGTACTTTTCTGCCTGGCATTTTTGGAAGGGCAAGTTAAAAGTATCGTTGCCTTTTTCTTAAAAAAGCAATGTTTCAGTACCCCTTTACTACCACAGTTTCCAAAGGCCCTGTGGCCTCCATGAACAAACACCTGTCTCCCACCTGAGACTACCAAACAATCCTCTCTGGACACACACACAGTCACCCAGCACATGACTGCCGAGACAACAGCAGCAGAGCAGGGAGATCTTCCACCTGCAAGTATGGAGGATGTGTTCCCCACAGCAATGGCACTGCTGCCTTCTCCAGCCAAACAGAAGTGCTGCCGCAGACCCTGACACTCCTTTCTATTGAGGGTTCCTTGGACCTGGCTGCTCTCAGTCCATGGGACATTATTCTCTGCTTAAGGGTGGATAAGGTGGAGAGTTCACTGGTGAACTAGAAAAGATTTCTGCTAGGGTGCTGTAGAAGTTGTGATTCACCATCACTGCTTTGGCGGGGGACGTCAGGGGGACGTACTACTTCTCATGCAGGTGGGAGTGAGGCAACCTGCCAGAGAACCTGAGCCACTACCCATCCAGCTGCCAGCTGAGTGCTGGGCAAAGGTTTTGCACAGTTCTAGCTCCAAGCTTCACTTCATCAACGCACTGCCATTTCTCTCCTTGTAGATGCCAGCTCCAGAGCAGAACAGTAATCCAACCACGCAGAAAGCGCACGGGCCCAAGATGAAAGCTGCAAGTTCAGAGGTTAGAAGGGGGTCACAGTCTGAGGCAGGAGCCGTTGCAGTTGTCTGGGGTCGTTTTCCAGCAGTAGGTATAATGCAGGCGTTCTGTATGTACATCTTGGCATTCAGGCGGGAGGAGGGACACTTACATTGGTGGGAAAGGAGAAATCCTCACTCAGGGATATACGATACCTGCCACACAATAATGTGGCTCCTTTCAGCCTTGGAAAGTACTGGCTTCACCTGGGTGGCGTCTCCTGCATTCTCGTCTGTCTCATCATCTTCTCCATCCCCTGAAGAGAGAAAACAGAGAGTAAAAAAGGCAAGAAAGAAAATCCCAAATTGTCTGCTCTGGAATACTTCCAAAGAGTCCAATATCCCTGCTACAGTCTCAGCAGTCTGACAAGACAGTTTGAGCTGAGACCTTCCTTTATGCCTGGAGAACATTTATAGAAACATGGTGCTTTTCTGAAGCAGGACTGTATGGATGGAACAAACCATGTCCAGCAGCAGGGAAAGCCACCATTCCTTTCGGGGAAGCCAATGTTTATAATACAGAGCACCCTCAAGCAGCACAGGTGACCACATCGAGCCCATGGCACAGATTGTTTTATTCTTTCCAGGGCCATTAACACAGACTACATGGCACTGCAGGCGCAGGCAGGGGCAGGGCTTGGCAGCCTTGTGCTCAGCAAGGAAAATGCTCACTATCCACCCTCACAGCCAGAGGCAGAAGAAAGGGAGAGCAGTGCTTTTCAGATTTTGCTCCCCAGTGATCCCCCTTCTCCATGACCACGGCCCTGCACCCCGTACCGTTCCAGATGCCTCCTGCCACAGTTACTCACCGATCCGGAAATCAATGTACCCTTCTCCTCCGCTCAGCACCAGGACGTTCTTCAGCTTCTGCCCCTCGGTCTCTGTGGCCGCTGTGCTGGGGTTCTCTGAAGGGCTGTCCAGCACACTCCCATTCAGGGTTGCTAGGACATTGCCTGGGAGAGGACAGAGGTGCTGTCAGTGTCTCTGCTCAGCCCCCCATGCGTTAACATACACACACAAACACAACTGGGCAGGCCAATTC